GGGAGTAAGTCATGCTCCGGTAAACTCACTCACACGACGAAACATAACGCCATCGTTGTTTCACGTCGGTTTTTTGTGAGGCCGTGGTATCCCTCGTTCAAACCGGCCCATTTGTGATTAAGTATGGCTCTCCCAAACTTATATAAATATAGAAACCAATATTATCATTTCTATCTAATCCACAATTCTGTGTAATTACTTACTATTATAAACCATTCCGCCTCCGTAATTGAAAAAGGGTAATCTACATCACATTACAGGCTGATAATTACTTTCAGACACAAAAATACACATAACATAACATCACGCCTTTTATTTTTATTTATTTATTTTTATTTATTTATTTATTTATCCCCGGAGGGGTAGGCATAGTATGCCACTGTACAATGTAACACCCACTTTTCACTATTGTGTGTAATAGGGGGTGAGGTTATTGCCATATACCGGGCACAATTCCAGACCCCGGGCGACTACTGAGATTTTTTTAAAAACCCAGTAATACTTTACCCGACCCGGGAATCAAACCCGAGACCCCTTGCCCGGCAGTCGCACTTGCGACCACTCGGCCAACGAAGCAGTCATACCTTTGCATTTATAATGCTTATAGTTCAACTGATATAATATGAGCTTGTCTCACCATCAGAAAATTCAAATTCTATTATAATGACAAAAGAAACGAGGAAATGAATATTTCCATCAACAATTCATTGAGAACAAACACTTGGAGTTGTTTACCACCAATTAACGGAATTAAAATAGAGATGTCGCTGCGGTCGGTGCAGCGACGCGGCGATGGAAATAGGGTGCTTATTTGTTTTGTTTTTTATACAACCCTCTGCCGTTATACAAACTACGTTGAAATTGTAAATACGTATTTTCACGTTGTTATACTTTCTTCGTTATAAAGTGTATAATTATGTATAATGTAACACAATATTCAAAAACAATATAGCAATATAGCCCAACAAGGGCATTAAACTCGAGACCCCTTACTCGGCATTCGTACTAGCGACCACTCAAAACTTACACTTAAATCTAAACGTGTTTTAAGAAACACTTACATTGTACAGTTTACCCATTGTCCAGTCACTTAAAGAAATAGCCAGTTAGATAAATAGCCTGTAGCCTCACCACAGCTTTATCACAAATAACTGTCGACACAAGAATGCAAGATAAATGTACTATTATGAAAATAAAACGCAGTTATTTACGGAAACTGGCGAGATACCCGAGAAGAGAGATCAACTCTACTATTGAATCCTGTGATCTCTTAATTTGAAGGAGTGCTTAGTACCTACATATTATTTTAACGTGCAGTGTTGTGATGAAAGAGATTATTTGTTACCACCCTTGCCTTTTAGAGCTGGTAGCAGAATCGATACATTTGACATAAAATTACAACATTTGAAAAAAGAAATAATGATGTTACCTATTATAAGAAACATAAAATTATTTTACAAATCAGATCATAAATAAATTAATATTTAATTCAGTGTGGAATCGGAATCAGAATCGGAATCGGAAATTGTTAATTGTATTATGATTTGATCTACATAATTAAAGTCAACGTCAAATTTTTTTTTCAATTAAACTGTCAAACACCAAGCGGTCACCGGTGACCGCAACCTATTGTTCTATAATTGTGTAGTACCTACTCTTGAATGTCAAAACAAAATATTGAAATATTTAAAAAATATCCGCTCATTCAGTCCTCTAGTGAAGCTATTTGCTCGTTCCATTGTGTAGATTCTTATGGAAAGAACGGACCAGAAACTCCAAAGGTTATTTTTTTTCGATCAGGTTACATTGTTTCGTTGGTTCAATCTTTAATCATCTTATTTTATAATGTTTTTAATATATGTTATATGAATAAGTGCTTATTGTTTTACACCATATCAACCTGGTATAATCAAAGTCGGCAGCTAAGGACAATAAAGTTCACGGTCGAACCTACTATGAACCTCCTTTACTTACTCTTCTATTGTCAAGCTCCACGGTTTTTTCAGAGAGCGGTACTGCACTGTCGGTTCTCACACGTGATACGCGCAGGAAGAGAGTGTAGCCAAATTTATTCTTATCTCTTTTTTTTGATGGGAAAAATCACCCAAAGACTTCTCTCGCCTTGGGTTAGGTGTGAGGGAGTGTCAGACTCTTACTGACTAAAAATCACCCCGTTCCTACTTCTGCCCTTCGAACCAGAGCTCGATAACCTGTTAGGCCTTCTGTGGCTCCGTATCGGACATCAGCCCTACTTGGCCCCATTCGTGGTGGCCTGATGGCTGTGGAACGCAACGCGCTATAGGCATGGGAAATCTATTCTACTTTGCTGTATCAAAACCGCGGCGAATAAGTAGCTACTATACTTAGGTAATCGCTTTCGATCAACCAACTTATGTTTTAAGGAAGAAGCAATAAGTTTATGTGTCTGGGGGCTATCGAAAATAGTTTTGATATAACCCTAAAGTTAACTTAAGATTTTGTGATTTTTGCGAAAGAATTCGAATACCCTTTATTTTATCATCGGATACATCATAAGCTTTATTGCTTGGTATCAATAGTAGTAAAAAAAGACTTTGGTCTCGACAATTTGAGTTACAATGAAAAAGATGATCATGTTTCAGGTAAATTAGGTAATTTTTGACTAAGGTTTTTATTCTCATTTACTCAATAGTAAATGAAAATAAATGCAACAGGCTTGCAAGTACTGAGAGGGCTATCATCATTGTTGTACTAAATAGGTTTGTTTCGGTCTGTTTATAGCGTGTTTAATTACGGTGTGAGGTACAAGCGGACAGCGGAAAGTATTTTTAACTGACTTCAAAAAACGAAGAAGATTCTCTGTCTCGCGATTGGCTCAACTGATTTTGATGAGGTTTTCATAAAAGTCTTTGTTACACTTAGGAAAATGTTTTATTAATTAAACAATATTTAGATAAAACGAATCAAAGTTTAGGAGTGGGGGCTAAAACGTCATTTCTACGTATAAAATGTACATAGAAGTGACGTCACGCGAGATTTCAAATCAATATATCGTCGAATATATTAATGAACCGACCGCAAAGAAGAGGGGTAGAACTTTGAAGTCAGTTTTTTTAAATGTAGATTATAAAAGAATTATAGAGAATAATGTTTTTGTCCGGAACTTCCGATTCCTTGGTCATCATTTGCTTTGTAGGACGTGTCAGTTGCCTTAGTTCAATAATTACTCCAATTGTCAAGTCAGTTATGTTCGAATTGGTGACCGTTAGTGCAGCTGCTTAGAAACGATTTGATATAAGGTATAAGTCGTTTTTTAAAATATGTTATTCATTTTACTGTTTATTTTTAACTCTCAGACTGTTTGCGCTTGTCCCACAGAAAAGTTTGAAAGTAGGCTCAATTATACTTACCTGGATCCCGTCGAGACTGACCCGACAATGCTTTTAGTGCAAACTTACATTTGTTCATACATACATATACAATAGGTTTCACGAAATAAAGTGGAGAGTTATTAGAGGAGCGTTTTTTTGATGGTTCGTAATTGATAGCACTTTTAGCGTTCCCTACTAGCTACAAGATTAAATTTTATATAAGAACTAGCTATCTCCGCGCGGTTTCACACGCTCTGCTCAGCTCCTATTGGTTGTAGCGTGATTTTTTCTAGTCTATAACCATTCTCGATAAATGCGCTATCCAACACAAAAAGAATTATTCAAATCAGACTTGTAGTTAAGGAGATTAGCGCATTCAAACAAAAAAACAAACTCTTCCGCTTTATATAATAAGTATAAGATTTGTTTTCTGAATGCTTAATAATGCATGTAACTAAGAAACGTGTATCGCTAATATATTCTGAACATCATGAAACTGCTGTGTTTATTGTACAGCTGTCAGACGTACATTCGTATTATTGTTTTTGAATCGTGTGTGTCCATTTAGCTTTTCTTCAGATTATTGAATCTACATAACATCACACCTTTTATCCGCGACGGGGTAGGCAGAGGTGCACATTACGGTACTTAATGCCTCTGTGCAATGTAACACCCACTTTTCACTATTTATCTTATCAGTCCCATGTAATAGGGGGTGAGGATATTGCTATATACCAGGCGCAATTCCAGACTACGTGCTACCATTGAGAATTTAAAAAACACATACTTTGCTCGACACGGGAATCGAACCCGAGACCCCTTGCCCAATAGTCCCACTTGCAAGCACTCGGTCAACGAGGCAGTCAGTAATTACTGAATATCTGTTTTAAGAAATCTTGTAGTCTTATAAATATGTCATTTATTTGAATAAAATTTTAAGAAATTATCGCATTGGTATAGGATAACAAAATAATAGACCATAATTCGAAGATGAATCTGCCTTATATTTTACAGTTTCATTTTATATAATAACACCAACAATTATGAACATTTGCATGTCTACTACAATTTACAAATAATTAGATAAACATATTTATGAGGGCTCTTGAATTTTCATCGTATACAAGCATTGATTTCGGTAAATTATACAGTCGCATTGTATTGACAAAAATGTGCTGTTTTCTGTTTTTGATATTAGTGACATCTATTGACGATTGCACGGAATTATATTTTTTTTCATTATGATTTGATTTTTATTTCTTGACTGGATTGTATCTTTTTTTTAGAATCTTGACTGTAATATTTTGTTAAAAAAGGAATTTTATGTATAAAGCAAATAATTATTTATGCAGTTTGAATTGTGATTTTTGAAATTGGTTATTTTAAAAGGATTAATAAAAACATCTTATACGTTTACAAATGGCACATTTTATCTTATATTCTAATCTATCTATACAACTATTTGCCAATTGCAACCCAACCTTACAATTGACGTATTTAAATACATTCGTTAAAATTAGAGTATTAATAAATTAAAATAATGTACATACTGAAATATATTGAATTTATAATAATAATATATAAATATAAGAAAACAAATTTTGAAATTAATAACGTCAGTCAATCTTTGGTATAATTTGATTTTTGTTTATTTAATTTACTTTTCTTCAGGCGACTCTCTCTGAAACAAAAGTGAAATAAATCTTATTATAATCAGCAAATGGTTCAGTTTAATACATATATTGTATCTAAAATAAGTTGTATGCCTTAAGGAGAACAAAGTCCTATGAGACTTCCAAAAAATATTGGAACAATATTTACTTGGAAAACATTTTAATCTAATATTTACTATAATAAAATATTATGTGGAAAATAGGTTATTAATAATATTCTAAACATTTTTTCAATTTCAATAATTTTTAATTGAAAATTGAAAGTTAATTTGCATCTACTTTAAATGTTAAAATTACTCTAGTTATTTATTTATTTTCAGCTATAATCGTCCCTACTATAGTACCGAATATAAAAAATAATATTGATTTTAAAAAGAACCAGTTATATCGCTTTCCTATATGTTTATCTTATTCATCTGCCTTTAACTAGTAGATAGTTTTTAGCCACATTTTACGTTACTTTTAACTGGCAGATAGTGCACACAAATTGGGACCCATGCATACTTGGTTAGTAATGGGTATCCAGAGCCTCTAGCTATAAATTTCTTACCATAATTTGCCACATTTTCATCTTAGATAACAGGTCGTCGTCCAGCATGGGCTTCGCTTCCATATTTCGGCTGAATGGCAGTTCCACAGGTCCGTCATCATTTTCGAGCCTGAAATACGTAAAATGAATAATTGAAAAAGGAATATTGTAATTAATCTTTTAAAAAAAATCGTGTAACAGAACACGGTCTATCAAAATGAATACTTTGTCGGTCGAATTTGTAAACTTTGCAAAAACGACTGCCGAGCAAGTGTGTACCTTTGCCTACCACTTGACTGTATTGTGAACCTGATTGAAAAATAGTAATAGAGGTATATATATAAAAACCTATAGAGTTTCTAGCTCGTTCTTCTCCATAGGAATCTACACTTTGGAATGAGCAAATAGGATCGCTTTTAAATTTATTTGTTCACGTTTATAAGTGCCTTCCTGGTCTAATTAATATAAATGATTTTGTCTTTGTCCTCTGGAGATTAAATATTTGGTTTATATCTAAATTATAAAATCGTATTAATAGAAACTTAATTTCAAAACATTTCGTAAAAACATTACATTACTTATTATATGACATAACATGGTACATATATGAACAATATTGTTATCTTTCCTAACGCAATATTCGTGGTTATGGCGCTTCCCTGTTACATGATATCAAATATTAGTTCAGTTTTACCCTAAAGTTAAGCAACACCAAGTTAAGAAAGTATCGGTACACGTAATATTACGAGAACTAGGGGTAGTACAGAAGTCTAGCTGAAGCTAAACTTATAAGATGCGGTTTTTAAAAGGAAATTGAGTAATTCTTAAGTAGTATAGTATATATTTTAATTACTACTTGGCTTACTATCTCTAACAATGCACATTAGGATTAATAAATGTAGTTAAGAAATTGGAGTGCTCGCATTAATGTTTTGGAAAATTGAAAAATATCTTACAAAATATTGCTCAATTTGGGCATCAAATTGAAGACGTCTTGCTCAGTCGCATTTGCATCCATTTGACGACGAACGACACATATAAAGAATTTTCATAATCACACGATAAAAATACTTGTAGCCTTTGAGTGCAAGAACCAGTAACGCCATCTGTACGCGGTTTCCCCGCAATACTTACATCAGTTTGTTAGTTGCGGGCGAGTCGTCTGGCATGTTCATTTGGAAAATAGCGTCGATGTCGTCATTCTTAGTCAACTGGTTCACGTGGTTCTGGAATTCAAAAATAGATGGCGTTATTAAAACTGTAAGCTTTAGAGGTAGTTTGTTTAGTGCCCAAACTATAGTATAATGGAATATACTGTTAAAAAACGTGAGGTTTACTCTTAAATTGGAAATTGTCATATAAAAAAAATTACATGACAACGTAGTTAATTGATATTTTGATTTTCCCGGATAATTTATTAGTCCGTTTCATTAATCTGTAATTTGTAATCTGTAATCTGTAATTTAAAAAAAACAAATCAATAGATGGTTAGATGATCTTTCGGCTTCTTACCAGTTCAGCGTTAGCAGCCATGCGTCGCAGCAACCTGGTGAGGTACCAATCAGGGGCTGACGCTGGAGGCTTGCCGGATCTCTTGCCGTGAGCTGGAAGTAAAAATTGATATGTCATTATCCCATTTGTTACTAAATTCTTATTTACTTAAGATTAACGTCTTTTTCCTTTCATGTCTGAAAAGGTAAGTACTATAATAAGGACCAATTAAGTGTCACTATAAGCACGGGTCTGCGGACGGCGAGCAAGTGTAGCTCGCCGTCCAACTAGAACCAGATAAAAGCGCATGGCGTGGTGCATTTTGCAATGTCTGTGATGGTGTCCCCACTCCCCAGGTACATTTTATTATTCCAAACTGGTTATAGTAGTCGATACTTAAAAGTTTTAGACATGTTCGATCGATTATGACTATGATAATATTCCTCCCAATCCTTCAATATCCTGTCCATTGTAATGTTTTGCATGTCGTTAATTTTAATTAAAGTTTTGACTTCTAAAACATTCTAATAGTTTTCGTTTAGTACCCATGGGACTATTAGCCAGTGCTTTATCGCTGGTTACTTGCAAATACTCGTGAAATAGCATACAATGGCTTTTTATCTCTGAAGTGACACGTGGAGTTGCAAATACCTGTACAATGTAAAACCAATTTTCCACCAGTTATGGATCTCTTGTAATATGGTGAGAATATGGCCTATCGTAGACAAGTTTAAAAAAGCTGCAAAAATACAGAAAAAATTTGGCCGGATCGGTATTTAAATACGAGACTCGAACATGAGTTCGGAAGTCGAACTTGCGACCACTCGACCAAAGAAGTAATCAGTCATTGCTGAAATAAATTTAAAACATGAATTCGTGACGGAGGTCTACATTTGAGAGAACATACACAATGATAATGCACAAACCAGAAATTTTGTGCTTCTTCAGTCACAGTTTTGGTCTCACAACTAAAGGAAAAGGTTTTGTTTATAAACATCGCACCTGTTATGTAAATTACTAGATCTAAATTTCAATATGTGCATGTAAAAAATAAAAAAAATATAGGTATTACACGGAGGTGTTCATTACAAAGTAGGTAACAACACTTCATCAGTAATGTTATGAGATTCATATAAAAGGGAGTTAGCCTATTGCCATAGACCAAGACTATGTGCTTCTATACTAATGTATAGTATTTCACTATCCAACCGGTCGGTCTCTTAAATAACTATTCTTAGCAAAAAACACTTTATTTGGAAATCTACTGCAAAATAGACGCTTCTACGGTCAATGGAGTTTCTTGCTCGTTGTTCTTCTTTCAAATCTACATTACCTACTTAGCCTACACCTACCTAGCTTCACAGACGTACAGATTGACAGACTCTATTATTTATTTTATATTTGTTGACGTAACAAAAGTACCAAATTACGGTTTAATTGAAATAAATGTTTTTTGACTTTTAACCTTTTGAAAAACAGCAATTTCATAAGTATTTATAGTTTACAAACTACTTAGCAATTATTAAAATTCTAAGGATAAACATTCCATTATTTTCAGCCTAGGTATATAACTAATTAATATTCGTCCCGTACACTGCATGTGTTTGACCAACTTTTATTGGGTTACTGCCATATTAAGTTGCTGTACACTAAGCTACAGTTTAGGACAAAAATGGTTTTATAAGTAGTCTTTTCTTTCTTTTTTTAACGTTGCCCCACACTAGAATTTTCTCCTGTGTCGTGGGTGCGTTTATAAACATACAAGTTCACATAAACATATTGATTTTGCTTTATCATCATCATCAACAGCCTATAAATGCCCACTGCTGAGCAAAGCCTCTTCTCACACGGAGAAGGTTTGAGCACTAATCACCACGCTTGCTCAATGCGGGTTGGCGATTACAAACTTATAATTAGAAATTATAAGCCCAGGTTTCCTCACGATGTTTTCCTTCACCGTTTGTCAGTAGTGTCTAAACAATCTTAGAAAGTACATATATAACTCGGAAAAAGTCACATTAGTACTTGCCGTTGGTAGGTTTAGAACCCGCTTCCTCATGCATGAAAAGGAGGCGTCTTAAACCTCCGGGTCACCACGACCACTTTTGCTTTGTAAACAAGGCGTAATTATTTTATCTAGCCTTGCAGAATGAAATGCTTTAATTGGCATAGCTGAAAGTCTAGTCGTATTCTAGAGTAGAGACCGTGTCTAGGCAAACCAAGTGTAGGGCTAAACAGCTAGGTGGAGTGTCGACATCCTCAAGGTGGCTGGCAGTGGTTGGATGCGAAGAGCTGAAGACCGAACTTAGTGGCTTGCCAATGGAAAGGCCTATGTCCAGCAGTGGACGAATACGGGCTGATGTTGATGATGATAGTCGATTGACGTCTGATGGTCATGGCATATAAAACGCTGTGCCGTAGCAGTGCTGTGGCCAAGCCGTTACTGTTCCATGACCCATAATAAGACGTCAAGAGTCAAATGAGAATATCTAATAAGTGATTCTCTAATATTAATATTATGCCTAATAGTAGTCTCAACTGACTGACAGTATCCTGAAAGGTATGTTTATAACCAATTCTATTATGAGTATAGAAGAATCACCATCCAATACGTCTTATTGTTTCCTTCTTATAGGTAATAGCTGCGTGTATATCTTCCCCTATAGATGATGAGGGTGCCACCGGGGTGGTTTAAGTGAGGTAAAAAACTCACACTGCCTAGATTTTGTCCCGAAAAAAAAAAACAAAAGGGAGCGTTTGTATCTTATTTATTCTAACACTTTTTGGACATACAATTATGCAATGGGGACTTAGAGCCGGATGGTATTACACTAGGGGCTTACCACGACCACACCAGCCAACCACAGGGTGATGCAGAGAAGTGATACAGTTGGTTTCAAACAAGTTTGTAACTATTTAAAAACGATAGTGAAAAATGAACAGCTGTGTATCGTAATTTTTAGCGATCTGTTGCCAGCTAGCTACTTTCCGCAGCCATGTGTGTAGCAAGCCTTAGCAATGAAAGCTGTCCCGATTATGCTCATTATGCGGGCTGGGATTAAAACGTCGACAGGTGACTTGTATTAGACATTTTACATAAAACAGATTATACGATATTATTATATTGTTTTTCGGATATGTTATACCTCAAACACCTTGTATGTGAGAAAAAATATTAGAATAATATATGTTAGTGTATTACTATAATAATAATAGATAACTCAGTATGTATATTGTTTAGAAAACGACAAAGGATATCTAATATAGTAAATAACAAAAAAAAACAAAAGATGATAACCAATTAAAAATATTTTTAATAAAACTCAAACATTAGGTAACCATATAAAACTTTTTCGAAGCAAAAATATTATAATTTTCGGAAAAGTGTTTGGTTCATTCACTAAGGTCATTGAAATATGGTTCAGACCTTCCCAATGGTGACGGACCCCAATCCCCGAAGTAGACCTTTCATGGAATGAGTAGGAAAATGTAAGGCTTCCATTGAAATATTACATTTTCTTATCAATTGAAGTTTAGCGTTAAGTAATAGAATTTATTTTAGTTACGTGTCGTGATGTTATGGGAAATTCAAAGATTACCTACGTTATTTTTTTACTCGACTACGGCGAAGTCAAAAGGAGGATTATAATTTATATTGCGTTCTTATATGTCCAAGATCTGTCTTCGCCTTTTTTATAATTAACATGTTATATACCGTTCCGTTTATTACAGATACAGAAAAAAACTTAACATGCAGTGATATTTTTTACACCGTTTTGGTTCGAATAAACAACCATTGCAATTAAAAGTGTGGGAGAGCCAGGCTTCGGCACGAATGGGTCGGCTCAACCGGAGTGATACCACGGCCTCACAGAAAACCGACTTGAAACAACAGTTGTGTTGTGTTTGGTCGTGTAAGTGGTTATCGGAGGCCCAATTATCCCCCTCTCCTTCCCCAATCTTCCCATTCCCTGAATTCCCAACAATCCTCAAATTACTAATCCTCAAAAGGCTGGTAACGCACTTGTAACGCCTTTGGTGTTCCAGGTTATACATGGGCGACGCCGATTGCTTACCGTCAAGTGATCCGTCTGCATTTTCCCACACAAAACCGATCATATGCAACAAAAACTCATCCAATGCAGATCCTGGGAGTAATTTGAAAGCACCATAAGTGTCAATAAATGGTAATAATCCCACACTATCATGGAATGTGGGAGTGGACATCGATATTACGTGTTTATAAGCCAACGGATTAAAATAAAAGCAATATTCATGATAGTAGTTTGCCGGCTAACGTTATAAAAATGCCCGCCGCCGACATATAAATGATACTTGATTAAGCCATCATCGGTTTAGGCTGGTCTTATCTAAGTTTTGTCTAGTCTGGAGATTTTGTGTTATTGTTGTTAGTTATTGAAGATTATAATGATCATGTTAATCAAATGTCGTTACAGCGTAGGTATAATTGTTAAGTATGAAGTCTTATCTTTCATGACGGGTTCAGAAAAATTGTTTTTAGTTTTAATAGTGTCTTTGTTAGGGTGCGTCCACATATGGCGAAGGCCGCATTCGCGTAACATACACCATAGTATGTGGACAAGCCCGGTTAATACTACCAATGCGTGTTTGTAAAAAATGGTAATCACACAGACAAGAGTTGATCCCAACTAAATAAGATTAGGTATATTTCATAAGGATTAGTTATCATCCGATCACCAAATTGACATAATATGAATACTGAGATCGGTATGTGTAAATGATAAAGATTCTAAATATTTATTGTCACTTAACTCGTTGAGTATCGTCATTATAGACACAATTAAAGAACAATAGGTTGCGGTCACCGGTGACCGCTCGGTGTTTGACAGTTTAATCTTAAAATGTAGGTATCTGAGATTTAACAGGTTATTGAACTCACCTCCCCAGCAGGAATGGCCGTAACTTAAGCAGGAACCTGAAACCATACAAATACTAGATTTAGGATTTTGATATTAACAGAATTTACAAGATAGGGTATAACAGGATTTTATTTTGTATTTCCATTTTGCAGTCGTTATCTATATTTGTTCATTCAGCGTCTAAAACCTATTATATATTAATCGAGGTTCAGTAACACTTTTCGGAGACATGCATTGCAGTACCGTGCAAGCAGTATTTCTCTAGTATTTAAACATAAAAAACTATAACTGAGATAAGAAGTCACTAGACATATAATAGAGTTCTACGCCAAAAAAATATGACCATAGACTTCTACTCCATGTTTCCGATATTCGTGTGACTGTTGCGTCACATCTCTACAGCACTTTGTATCTTACAAACTAGAGGTGCATTAGCTTTGAGTGTCCTGCTAATACGATCATAGTGTAGTCCAATAACTGAATACGTGACCTAGATATTTAGGTCATTTAGGAAGATGATAGGACTACGCCGTTGTGAGGTCAATTTCATTGTGTTTGTCAATGTGATGGTCCATGGTATATGGATACCTGTTAATGATTTGTCTCTGTAAGGATTTTAATCGGTTAGGATAATTGAATATTTCTGGTTACGATGTTAAATTGTGTTGTTCCTGTTATGTTAAATAAATAGTTTAGAGTTTCCGAATTATAAAATTATTATTATTTATTTATTGAAGTAACGTGAGGAAAAATTAAAGTAATGTATAAGAAGGAAGACAAAAGTGTAGACAGTATAGTAGCTGTAGTTATTTTGGGAAAAGTTATATGCGTGACAATAAACCGTTTTTTAACCTATCTAAATATTTTTTGTAACCGATCTTACTTAACAGCTTTATAATTGAAAAAGTATTCAAATCAAATCAAATCACTTTTGTTTGTTAACACACATAGGCAAGAACACATGGGACCCACTTAGATTTTAGTCAAATTTCCGTGGTGCTTCGCGACTGGGCTTCACCTAGTTGTACAGTCTCTTTTCTTTGTGGCTTAAGGCTTAATTCACTCTGTCTCCTGCAGTAATTTACCGAGGGAAGAGGAAACTATAGTTTTTTTTCTTCTCCTCTTATAGATATCCTCTGATTCACTTCGTTGTGAGAACCAAGACGGTTGTTCCTGGGACGCACCGTACTACAGTATTCCGGTGTTTTCATGGTTGTATCTATTGTAGATCCTGGCTTACAGGAGTTGCAGCGGTTTTGGGAGGTTGTGGCGGGCTTGTCCCATAAAATATAGGCAAGAATGTTGTTACTCAAGTAAAACAAACAGAGTAACAAGTAAGTCAAGACAGAAATTTAAAATAAAATGTAGGCCTACTCTGACACGAATTGCGTCACCACCTTTAAACTTATTACGCTTTACAAATAACAATGCTACAATCAATTCATATTCCGAAGCACTCGTACAATTCAATTGGTTCGAAACACACTGATATATTGTTGAATGCATAAAGATTTCCCTACGGACCCATTGCTAGGGTTCCCTTTGAACACCATCTCTTCATTGGAAACAATTTGCTCATTCGATTTTACAAAGAGATGTTCATATAAATCACGTTGTTTACCTGTATTTAGAATGGTGTGAAGTCTGTTTATTTTATTGAAGTGGAATTTCTTTGGGCGGGTAAGGTTTGTAATAATGTCACATGGATTTATTTTAAACGTATTTTAAAGGTACTGTGAATGATTTGGATATTTTCAAGTGTCTTTAAATTGAAATAAATTAGTCCTATTATATCTGAAAGTATAATTAAGAACGTGTAATAACTCAGTATTGCAGTTATAATTCTCTTCCTTTCTGTTTTTCATCATACACCTATTATACTTGTGTAGGATAAAAATCATAGCACAATTACTAAATTACAGTATAGGTCTACGTAAGTAGTCCTAGAAAGGAACATGGTGAAGTAAGGATGTATCTATTAACCCGTCGCGTGTCGGAAAGTAGATCTACGCGAGACACAATGCATTTTCTTTTGTGTCTTATATATCGGCAGTCAAGAGGTTAAGAGTTCACTCACAATAGGGATGATGACAGGGTATGAAAATTAAAATCTAATAAGTCCGTCAGTTAGGTAATGAAAAAATATTAGACACGTATTTTTTTATTTTGTCATATAAGAAACCAATACTTAGATAAAACGAATCAATTAAGTTTAGGAATAGGAGGTGATGAAGTCACTGTTGAGTATAAATCGTACTCAAAAGTGACGTCATGCGATATTTCAAATCAATGTATGTTCGAAACGATTCGTTACAGTAAGAAAATAACAAATACGTGTCTAATGTTTTTAAATAATCTACCAGACGGACAATAGAATAAAAACTAGTCATCTACCCTATTGCTATGTAGTCTTATAGTAATTTTGAAATGTATTGCTAGAAGATAATAATGACTAAATGTTGAATCACTGTCGATCACAAGGTGTAAGCGATATTGTACACGCTACTCATGAGAAAGAGCCCCTCTGTGACACGAAACTAGTAGAGCTTTTCTCAGTATATTCACTTGAGTAACCCGCGTGTTTTAGTCAATCTAGTATGTCTCACGATAGCTAATATAAAACGATATTATTGTGTCCAAAATCTCAGGATATAAAGAACACGACATAATATAATATTTTACAAGACATCAATTACATTTACACAGAAGTTGAAGACCAAATGAATCTAGAACCTTCAAAGTCAATGTTGTGCCCTTAACATAACACTATTATTAGTTTAATACGAAATCCATGTACCTTTAGATGTAACATGTCCAACTTTTATCCTAACTAACTCGTGTACAAGATGTAGGGCGGTACAATGGCGATCCTAATTTTAAGACAACCGCCATTTTGTATCTAGTAATGACGACACACTTTTTCAGCAAACTCAATTTGCTGATGAGTCAATCGATTTTCGGTTCTATGGTGTTTGTTTTAAGGAGGAAAATGGTAGTAAATTAAATTTTTGTAGTGTAATTATGTTGTGATAAAATAACATAACATTACGCCTTTTATCCCCGAAAGGGTAGGTAAAAGTGAACACTACGTCACTTAATTAATGTCACTATACAATGTAACACCTACTTTTCACTGTTTATGTTACGAGTGCTATCTAGAGGTAATAGGGGGTGAGTCTATTGGCATATACAGGGCACATTTCCAGACGTGTGTAATATTTTTTCATTATCTAACTGACGGACTAATTAGATTTTTAATTTTGATACCCTGGAAACTACCCAATTCTCCTACATATATAAAGCATTTTTACAGTTAAATTTAACACAAACAAAGCTTTTACTAACTATTTTAATAAACTCTCAATAATAAATTACAAAATACTGCGAATTTAGCCTTGACTATGCGTTTTACACTAGCTATCGGGGAAAGCGTTCAACAAATGCTTCTTAGAACTGAATAAATGTAACAATATGAGTTCATGGAAAAGTGTGAATAGTAATCAAGGAATCAGTATGCAAACGCATGCTGAGGGGCAGCCGAGTAGGTGACCCATGCCGTGTTTTACTATAAAACTGTAAAATTGTCAATTTACATGTGACCTGTTAACAAGCTCCTAGAATATTGTACAGAGTAGAGAATTTTTTGCAGAGGCAGCCAGTTTCAATAATTATTTTTCTTTTTTTTTTTTTTTTCGTTAACTCATGCATGCTTGTCATTTATGAATGTAGATCTGTTTCTGTGTGTTAAAAGATTACGTGGTTAATTAATATCATATCGGCTTAATCAGTTCATTTCAATTGATTTTTAATAATTTGTATTACAATATTAATATGGTACACATAATGAAACACTCGAATTGTCTTTGTCGGACCACATAAATACTGCCTATGCTAATTAATAATGAATACATACATATAGAATTAATTAACACCGTGGGGTAGTTTAGACCAGCCTAACCCCTTACTGTCTTCCTGACTAGAAACGTACCCCAATACATCAATACGAGGAACCTACAATTTAATTAGTGAATAAAAATAACTATTTGTAGATAATACACTAGACGTCAATTACGTGTCAATTAATTTTTGAATGATGATAATGATAATTTTCTTTATAAATAATATTTGTACGCCTCTGGGAAAAACATGGATAATCGACCGACCTGTATCACCTCACATACCTATCAAATAAAAATATTCTGATTCTGATAATATTACTCCAGCTACTCAAAAAATATCACAGTCATTTTTCCGATGTTTGAACAGGTAACGCTCAAAAAACTCAATTAGGCACCAATCTATTTAAAATTCATGGTTTCGCAAATTCAAATTAAGAACACAAGGACCCGACATCTTGTGGCTACAATACAATGTTGCCATTATAATAAAACCCACTTACATTTTGTTAGCAAACTTTTGTTTTAAAACAAAGGTGCGATTAATTTTGAATAATGGCCGATTGGTCGTAATTCGTACTCCAATAAAATCATTTGTTTGTATCTAATTACTTATTGGAGAAACGCTTTATTATTTGTTTTGTTTGACACACAAAACTGCCCACATATTTTACTTATAACTTGAACTTTTGATACTGGAAATAGAGTAGAGTAATCAATTTAAATTTAGGACAAGTGGTTCAAAGTGCTATTTAATACACACGTTTTTTACATTCAAATTCGTGCTATGAATAAATTTAAAAATGTACAAAACTAAACTCTATTGAATATCTAACATATTTGAGGCAGCCATAGCATGCAGAAAATGACAAGAGCTTGGCAAAAATCGATCCTTTTGGATGCCATTCCTAATAAAAATTATATATGCTCATATGACGACCACTTTTGAAACATTTAAACATGAAAAACCAATCAAATCACTTGATTCTCTTTCCAATTTACAACAAAAAAACAGTAACATGCACTGGCCTACTATTGATGCATTATGTATGTACAGCCAAAGCGCATGCGCGTCGTATTATCATTCTTTGCGTGACCATACCTCCGCGTTGACTGCGCCACCCGCCGACTTTCTCTAAGAGGGTCGACGTTTTGCTACCCCTACTGTTAATTCTCTGCTCTGTGGATGAAATAGATGTTATTAGTTAGGCTATAGGAATGATGAGGAGGAAGTCATGTCATTTTCTTGCTTGGTAGACAAAACAACCTTTGTTTTGTAGTCATATTATATGCCGGAATACTGAAACGTTACTCAATTTTAAGTCGTACTCAAATATCGTGCCATCTCTGTCATTTCACAAAGAATTTGTAGAGATAGAACTATACTTAAGCACGACTTAAAATGGAGTAGCGCTTCAGTATTCCGACATTAGTCTATTAGATTGTGCCCGTAACTTTGTGAGAACAGAAAGATGATTCCCGTTTTTACCGTTACCGTGGGAATTTGGGGAAATCTACTCTTAGTGCATCCGTATACTTCCCAACGAATAAAGATGCTAAGTTTCAGCTTCCTATGTTCAGTAGTTGTCTAGAGAATATGCGTTTTTTTGTCAGTCAGTCACTCAGCAGTAGTAAGTCAATGTACACTGAAAAGTTTTTAATATTCAAGGAAATTTATTTTTGTCATAATGTACCGCAAATTTGAGAGTTTCGTGACGTCCTATCTTACATTAAAATTCGATTATTAGTTAAACAATGAAAGTCGCTAATAAATCAACAAAGTGTATTATTGTTGGCGTCTAAAGCGATGTAAAATAATGTCACTGTTGTCTTTTTGTTTTGTTTACACTACTGTTGGTTATCGTGAGTTATGGTACTTAATTATCAACTATTTTCTCCCAGTGGGTTCGCCCGAAGTCCCATATGATGCAGAGTAGCCTATGTGTTATTCCACACCATGTTCATCATTCACCCCTATTCCAAATTTCATACGATTCCACCATTTTGACGTCTTTGAGTTACAAATTTACACACTAAGTCACTGACTTTCTCATTTACAATATTAGTAAGATAACGAATAAAGATTTTATATTTTAATTAAAAAAGTTATGTAAAAATTATCCAATTTTTGTGTATTTATTAAGAGTAATAAGTACTATTATTGCTTATTCATTCAAATGCTGAATTAACTAAAAATCGCGCCGATGTCGTGCAGCCTATATAACGCCGCATAGGCTGCGCGACATCATTGCCGTGGCCGAAGAGCGAAGAGCCCTCTGTAGGTCGAAACCAGTAGGACCTGACTTTTCTCAGTATATTCACACGAATAACCCACGAATTTTAGTTAATTTAGTATGTCCCACGATAGTTAATATAATTATAAACTGCTGAAATTAGTATTTCCTAACACAGGATCTCTTAAAGCGTTTATTTTTAACTAGCTTCTGCCGGCGACTTCGTACGCGCAATCCTGTTTTTCCCGGAAACTAAAACTAAACTTTTTTTTTCGAACGGGATAAACAGTATCTTATGTCCGTCTCCTGGCTCTAATCTACCTCCATACAAATTTTTAGCTTAATCTGTTCTGCCATTCTTGAGTTATAAGTGGTGTTACTGACACTACATTCTTTTGGTTTTTAATTGTAGTTAAATTAATACATGAAAATTTTCAAACATTCCATTGGAATCAACCCTTCAAATCACAAAATTGAATAACACAACAAACAAGATCAACATACCAAAAACCAAACTCCTTTCTACCAACCCTTGAAACGCCTATGCAACCAATAAACAATTTTTAATCAACAGCTAAACAGCGTTTAAGATGAAAAGTGACATTATTGGCACTTATACCCGTCGTTATTGTTCGTTGTGGTCGGAAATGGGCATCGCCCACGTGTCGGGCAAACGAGAAACGCGTTCAAACAGTATTGTTTTTAAAACGGTTACAACACTATTGATAGATTAAAATGTCGTGTGTAAATGTGTTGTTTTATTGTGTTATTGGAATTTTATTGTATTGTATTGTATTGTATTGTAAATAATACGGTTGCATGCGGTGTAGTGATGAATTTGTTATGGGGATTGTGTGTTTAATAAAACTGTCTGTGTGTTTTTATAGGGTTTGATTATGTTTAAAAACCAATTTAGGTATGTGGTTTACGTTTATGAAATATAGACTTGACATTAAATTACTACTGTTTTTTATAAGATACATATAATATAAAAAATACTACAGATTATGATTAGGCTGCTTATAGGACGAGACGATGTGACCATCGTAGACCAAATCATCGCTAACCACGATGCGAGATAGTGCTCAAATGTAGGTCCATAAAATATATAAAAAAATGGCAGATTAATCAAGTCTGGTTTGCCTAGCCTACCTATAGAAAATCGACAGCAAGTCTTCCGTATCGTTTGTCCCGGTGACCCCATGGCGTTTTACATTTATTTATTTATTTTTTGCACACACATACATATTACAATTGTCATTACAGACTAAGTTACAATAACATCACGCCTTTTATCCCCGAAGAGGTAGGCAGAAGTGCACATTACGGCACTTAATGCCACTGTACAATGTAACACCCACTTTTCACTATTTATGTTATGAGTCCCATGTAATAGGGGGTGAGCCTATTGCCATATACCGGGTACATTTCCAGACTACGTGCTACTACTGAGGTTTTGACAAACCCAGTAATACTTTGCCCGACCCGGGAATCGAACCCAAGACCCCTTGCCCGGCAGTCGCACTTGCGACCACTTGGCCAATGAGGCAGTCCTTACAGACTAAGTCTAATGCGAAATACATACATGTTTATTTGTGTCTACAAAAAATCCTTGTACTGACAAACAGTGATCAATAATGTAGTAAGTATCTATCACTTTAGCCTGCTCTACACAATATCGTGCACGACCTACCCCAATGCAACATGCAGGTCGACACAATATGAAAGTACTCGCCATTAATTAACGACTGAATAATAACTATTAATGGGATTACTTGGAAGTCCATAAGCTTTGTTACTTACTGATTACTTAAGTATTTTTAGTCATCATAGGAAATAAAGTAATTTAGTTTAAAAAAAAAATAAATCTCCTGTGTCGTGGGTGCGTTTACAAACATACAAGTTCACATACACAATGACACCCAGACCCGAAACAACAATTTGTGGATCACACAAAGTGGTGTTCTGTGCGGAAATCGAACCCACGACACGTTTCACGGCAGCCGGTTGTCCAGCCACCGCACCAAACATGCAGTCAAAGTTTCATTAGTTAGGAATTTTAACTCATGGCCATGCCCACGGCAAAACTATGTCTTTTTCCGTAATTGCATAATTTTAGGAATATCTACTGACTTACGAAGGTAAACCGTTTAGGAGGAGTTCAATGACATACACACGTACAGCAGAATTATATACCTCTATATAAATATTATATTATAGTTATTATAGAGAAATTTTATTCTAGGTATATATTCCAAATATACATTTTTTACTCACTCCGAGAATCAAAGCCCTTACGACCGCACTCATGACCCGACGACGACAAAGTCGCACTTACGACCACTTGACTAACACGATAGTCAGTACATAAATGAACTACATATAATAATACACTGATCATAGTACTATAAACTCATTCCAGTCTAGTCTAGGAACCCTGGAAAAATACTGCAGCAATCATCGTTAGACTATCCTCAAAGGGATGTTCTAGAAACTTCTAATTACCGCTTAATAATACCACAGGGAAGGGAAATAGTGAAACGTATTCTTTTATACTATGTAGCTGCCATTATTGTAAACATAGTACGGTTTCAAAGTAGTATGCTAATTGTAACTATGTATGAATTGAAGTAGTTTTAGTAAATTATGGGTTAATGACCTTTATTTAGAATAGGCTGTTTGGTTTAAGTAGTAGTATGCATTCATATGTATGTATTAAAAAAATGTGTACATACAGACAGACATTTTTTTTCTTCTCCTATAATATCTTCTGATTCACTTCGTTGCGGGAACCAAGACAGTTATTGATGTCCTTGGAACGCGCCGGACTTCAGTGTTCCGGTGTTTTCATGGTTGTATCTACTGTAGATCCTGGCTTACACTACTACTACTTTTTATAGTCTAAAGGGGTAGGCAGAAGTGCTTGATGAAACCTAATTTTGCTGTTATATTGTAAGTCAATAATGGCAATAGATCATTCCCTATCATTCCAGATCATTCCCTATCACATGGGTTATAAACCCGACCCACTATTGCCACATAATATATACATAATATCACGCCTTTTAACCCCGAAGAGGTAGGCACATTGCAGCCCTAAATACCACAGTGCAATATAACAATTACGTTTTACTATTTATGTTATGAGTCCCATGTAATATGTGGTGAACATATATACCGGGCATAATTCCACACTCCGTGCTACTACTGAGAATTAAAAAAAAATACGACATAATAATGTATGTTCATGCCACATAGGTACTTATATTCCGAGTATAATTTGAGACTCACTGTTATCAGAAGCTCAAAAAAAAATTGCCCGATTCGAAAAGGAAGGATCTTTTACTCGGTTGTCATAGGTATTAATAACCACTTCTGCACGAGAGCTTTCCAACCTTATGGGCTAAATCAGTTTAAAATTTAAATAATATTTAGTTTTTACACAATGTTTTTTAAAAATTCCATAAAATAATAATGTTAATTTATTATTGTTTACCATTCCACTGTGTTTATTTATTTTGAATCAATAATTTATTATTTTGTTACGAAAACAATGCGGAGTTATTTCAAAATGTTCATTTGTTTTATTATTCAAGTTCATTCAAGTGTGTTTTGTTGTAATACGCTTAATTCAATGTAATAATAATTGGTTGGAATTGAATTTATTTCTGTAAATTCAAAATTTTGTTAAAATTACACTACCTAAGTATGAGTTTAAACAAGTAATCAAATATGGTTTAAAAACTACAGAAGGTATATATTCCGTATATAAACGAGAACTGGTAGCTAGTTGACAGAAGTTGTATAGGAGGCTATATTCCGCTTAGTTTCACCGAGCTAAAGAAATAAATATATAATAATTTGAATATATTCCCGACTCCATGTAATTTATATTCAAATATTCCGAAAATTCTAAAAATGCTTTATTTTTTTTTACATACCAATT